GAACAACTTCTTAGGGGAAATAAAATCTCTCTCTCTCTCTCTCTCTCTCTCTCTCTCTCTCTCTCTCTCTCTCTCCCCGAGATTTCCTTTTTCTAATTCCTGTCTCTGTGGCAGGGACATAGAATTTAAGAGACAGTTACCTGAACCGGTTGAAAGCTGCTCAGATCTTGAAGAACCCAGACCATGCCTTCTTGGGCACCAAGGCAAACATGTTCTGCCTTGAATAAAAGGTAAACCCTGCTTGAGCAGCTTTGAACCATGTCCCAGCTTACACAGATTTTCTTTAGAGTATGCTGTGTGGAATAGTTCAACAGTTAAGCACGTGGATTTGGCATTAAACTGCGTGAGTGTGGGCCCAGCTCCGCCACTCACTTAGTCTTATAACTCTGGCCAAGTTTATATCTTTCACGTCTTGTTCCTTGTCTGCCAAACAAGGATGCAGAGGTTTGGATGAGAATTACCTCCATGGATTCATATGACTTAATAGCAGCTAAGAGCACTGCCTGTTCTTCCAAAGGTCCTGAGTTCAGTTCCCAGCAACACAACCCTCTATAATGAGATCTCACAACCCTCTGTAATGACATCTGGTACCCTCTTGAGGAAGAGACCTGGTCAGTCGTCCTCATCAACTTAGACCATGAATAAAACCCAGTATGGACAAGTTCAACAGAACTGCCGTATACAGGCTGCCCATACATGCGTCAGCATTGCCAGGGCTTAAATGTCATTTCATGTTCATTCAAGCCCCATTGGTGGACCTCTTTGGGAAGGATTAGGAAGTTCAGCCCTGTCGGAGGAGGTGTGTCACTGGGGGGTGGGCTTTGAGGCCTCAGAAGACTCATGCCCATCCCAGTGTTCCCTCTCTGCCTCCTACTGGTGACTCAAGATGTTAACTCATCACCATGCTCTTGGGCCACCATCAAGGACTCTAAGCCTCTGAAACTGCAAGTTTAATTAGATGCTTTCTTTTAATAAGTCGTCTTGGTCATGGTGTTTGGTCACAGAGAGAGAAAAGTACCTAACACAAAGGAGCATGCTGGTTATGAGGGTTACGGGGAAAGAACATGTAAAATCATAGCGTCTGCACGTGAGAAAGCCTCGAGAACTGTGAGCTGTCATTATTACTATCTCAATTGCCAGGTAATAGTCTCCATTTAGATCTCTGAAATTACTGGGACTCAGGGATCTTGAACGCAAGCTGCACTTTCACAGCCTAATTCAACTCAGCGACTCAATCCAGGTCCTGAGATACAAAAGCAAAAATGTTTTTGATGGATAATAAACAAAGCGTTCTTTTACTATTTGTGCCTCACTCATTGATGTAGAAAGACATTTCTCACAAAGGGAACTTAACTTTTTAAATGCACACTAAAATCCAGTCATAGGACAGGGATGTAGCTCACTGGGGGTGCTTCCCCAGCGTGCAAGAAACCCTGGGTTTGACCCATCGCACAAGGGGTGTGTTGCAGTAGGTATAATCCGGTGACCATAATAATCCATGTGCTTGCTCGTATTTTCACACTTAGTAAAGAAAAGAACAAAACCATAGTCAAACAAAGCATTCTTCTGAGGTCGCGGCTACTGCGAGCATTAATGCTGTCAAGCTGACAGGATCTGGGGTAGCCTAGAGACTAGCCTGGCCTCACCTGTGAGGGATTACTTAGCTCTGGGCACACCTGGGAAGGCTTGCTTTGATTAGGTCAACTGAGCCGGGCAGACTGACCCTAAGAGTGGAGGGCACCATCCCAAGCTTGGGGTCTAGACTACAAAAAGGGAAAAGCTAAATCTCTACTTCCTGATTGTGGATGTGAGGTGGCCAGTTGCTTCAAGTTCCTACGCCTTGACTGGCTGCCATGGCGGGCCGAGCCCTTGAACTGTGAACTGAAACACACCTTTCTCCCTTCAGTTGTTTACAAGGTGTTTTAGAACAACAGGAGAAGGAGTCAAGACAACCCCATGCCATGAACAGTACATGTTCTACTGAACCTGTGACTGAAAGAAGCAACTGAGGCAGGTTTTCGGCCCTGCTGGCAGACAGGTGAGCCAGGTCTCAATTAATTACCCTCTTTAATTAGAACTTGAATATAGTCCTGATTGCTGGGGCTTCTTTTCATGCTCACCATATCTGCCAGAGAAAATGGCTTTTATTCTCCCCCCGCCATGAAGAATTTATCTTTCAGGGTGTATGCAGGTCAAAACTTGGGATGTAGCAGGATCTTCCAAAAGCTATAGGCATCCCGCTTTCTAGGGAACAGCTGAAAGCCGCTCACACCCACGGCCTAGCAGATCTTCTCCCTGTGTGCTAAGAAGGTGGTGTCTCTGTAAATCAGGAGCCATTTCTCCCTGCTGCCTCACACCCTGTGAGAAATAGTTACCATCAGCCACTGCTGGCCTTTGGCTGCTCTGGGCACGGCATACAGGAGGGGAGCCAGGGGAACTGAAATCTAGCTGCCATCCTCTGCTGCAGAAAAGATTTATCCCTTGGAAAATGCAGGCTATCACCGCAGTGATCCACCTCTTAATGGTTTTCCGCACGGCAGAAGCTGTTGTCAGGGAGACCGAAGCGAGCGCTTGTTGTGCGGAGGCCATCTTGCTGCCTGCTCCCTCGGATGCCAGGGAGAGCTGCCGGCAGGTGACTTATCTCCACATCCCATTTATCCAGGCTCTACTGTCACCAGAATGCCACCAAGCAGAAAAAGATCTGATCCCATCCATTAAGGGTAGATTCACAAAGTGGTCTAAGTCTCAAGGAAAATGCAGACATTCCTCCCTGGAAGCCGATGGCTGCCCAAGATGCTGAGCTGTGTCCTGATCTTCGGCCGTTCGCCGAATCCATGTGGAGCTGCTCCCTGCCCACCCTACACAGCCAGCTCTTGATTGTGTACCGCCTTCTATTGTTCCCTAATTGTGTCTCCACAAGACAAGTAATAGTTTCTCGAGGATGGCGTTCTTTTTCCTAACATAATTTCTGTAATTGTAACCGCTCCTCTGAAGCCTCTACTAGTAATTTTCCTTCCTTCGTGGTATGGACTTCAAATCAACTAGATAATGAGAAATAAAAATACCACCCCTTCCCCAGTGAAACACTAACAGAAAAATAAATAGTCTGGGAAACAAGATGCTCCCTTCACACTAGGACACACAGGAGAAGGCACCTCATAGCTGAGGATTCTTCTCCAACTCTTCCACCAGCCACCAAAGCATCCAAGTCCAGGAGGAGCCCACCCTCACGAGAGTCTCCTCACTCTTCAGGGTCCTCGATCCTGCTCAACAGAAACAGGAAATTTCCAGAGTACTAAGAACAAAATTGTTCTTTCATTTCTTAGGCCTGGATTAAAATCAACCAAAGACACAAGTATCATTCAGGAACCAGTCACTTGAAATGTAATCTAGAGAGCAGCTGGGCCTCGTTCTTGAAGGAATGTGCCGCCTCTTTCCTCATCGTGGTGAACAACCATCTTGAAATATTTACAGAAACCAGATTGAAACACATACACACACACACACACACCTAGACGCTTTGAAAATAACAAAAACCACCTCCTTGTGAATGTCTTCTTGAGTAAGCTGTGAGCCTTCTTCAGAAAAGCTACCGTCCCAACAGCCTTGATTCGTTCATCCCTAAATGAGCAGGCTGTGTGTACTAGGGTGAAGACAATGCTTGTGTCTCTTGGGACTGTGGAAGGTTCTCATTGACAAGAGTCTACAGTTCACTGCACTCTTTAAACATGGGGCGGGGGAATGGTGCCCTCTGAAAACTTTGGATGAACAGAAAAGGTGAAATCTACTGCCTCCCGGAAGTACTCTGCCTCCTTCAAGTGTTCTGTGTTCACAAAGGATTCGTGGACAGTCAGGCAGCTACCCCAGGATGATGCCCCATCCCTGACTTCCTGTGAAGGTTTCAGAAGTGCGAGGCTCTGTACTAACTTTTGTGTTTGTTTGTTTGTTTGTTTTGTTTATTTGTTTGCTTTGCCTTCAGAGAAGAATTCTACCACCTCCTCCCTGTTTATGGTTTATCAATTGGCCACCTTACACAATTACTCTACCTACCCAATGGTTTGTGCTTTGGCAAGCTATGTCCTTATTGTTCTGACCCATTTTCCCTTGCTTCTCATGCAGGACCAGGTAAAATAAAAAAGAGAAATGCAAAAATCCCTTGTTTAGTTTTGAATTTTACTATTTGGATAGTCAAGAGATGGCAACGGCAGAGCGCTAAACTGGGAGCCACCCCACGTGACTGGCCTGGGAAGACTACAGACCTGCCAGCCACCACCATTCCATGGCAATCCATAAAGTCATCCTCTTTCGTGTCTTCATAGCATGACACTGGACAGGGTTTGTTGATTTGCTTCCGATCTTTGTGTTAGACCGTAAGTGCCATAGATCATGTCTCGCTTTTCCAGCCCTCTGTCTACAGCCTCTATCTCTGTTGGCCACAAAGCCAGCAGTATTCAGCTCTCAGCAAGAGAAGCCAGGATAAGAAGGGACAGATAGCAGGGGTGGGGCCAGCAGGGTGGTCTCAGAGAGAGGGGACAGAGAGGCCACAAATGGTGTCCATCCTCAGTCTGCCCCTGCTCTTGGTAGCCTTCCTTCCCCTGTGTCCTTGGTCCCAGCCCAACTGTGACAGTAAGCTCACAGAAGAACCTGGAAGAACATAACTTATATGACTGCCCTCTTGCTTTACTGCAGAACATTCTTTCTTCAGCCAGAATCTCCAGTTAAGCGAAAAAAAATGTTCCCTGTTTCCCCCTTAAGAAAGGATGACTGCAGGAGTTGGACAGGACCAGTCTCCTGCCTCGGCTCCATTCCCAATTTTCCTCCAGCTGAAGCTCTGTTCACTGAGTAGAACTTAGAATCCTCCTGGCTGCTTCTACCCAGAACTTCAGCCCTCAGATTCCTTTGGGCCCTGACTGTATCACGGTTCTTCAGGGTGTTGTAAGGGTTCTTCAGGGTGTAGTAGTAAGTTCTACTAGCAACTTATTTCAGTGTTCTTCAGTCCAAATGCCAAGGGTGTTGTGATGCCTGTTCTTGAATGTCAGCTGGACTATATCAGCAGTGAGCTACAATCCAGATATGGAGAGTGATCCGGATTTTAGGCAGGAAGACAACAAACCTTCAATCCAGATCTTGAGGAGGAAAGGGACACCTTTAATGGGGCCACACCTTCTACTGTGTTGTGAGGAGGTCACTTGTTCATTTCCCAGCCGCCCAGCAGCTCAGACCTGAAATAACCACATAGAAACTGTATTAATTAAATCACTGCTTGGCCCATTAGCTCTAGCTTCTTATTGGCTAACTCTTACATATTAATTTAACCCATTTCTATTAATCTGTGTATCACCACATGGCTGTGGCTTACTGGTTAAAGTTCTGGCATCTGGCTTCAGCAGGGCTTCATGGCTTCTCTCTCACTTCATCCTTTCTCCCAGCATTCCGTTTAGTTTTTCCCACCTAGTTCTACATCCCTGTAGCTCTACTATAGGCCCAAAGTGGTTCCTTTATTAACCAATGATATTCACAGCATACAGAGGGAAATCCCACAACACTACTGAAGGCCTATAGAAGGACAATGGAGGAAGGAGGGTCCCTCGTTCTTCACCTGCTTGCCCTCCCCCTGCCACCACATCCACTCCTTGACTGGCATCGGAGCCTACTTCTTCAGGATTCCAGCATACACAGAAGACTAGATGAGACACCCAGCCTGTGAGACTGAGCAGTCTTGGACTTTACATTCCCAGCTAGCCATTGATGCATTAGTTGGACTGCAACCTGTAAGTCATTTCAATAAATTCCATATATGTATATGAGACACAGAGAGAGAGAGAGATGGGGGGGGATTCATTCCTATTTCCATACGTTCTGTGACTCTAGAGAACTCTGACTAATACAGGTGCTATCTAGGCCCCTACCTGTCTCTCTATACCAGGTCACACACAAGTCACTGGCCAGACCTGAGAATGGGCTGCCCTTGTGTCTTGCTCTAGTTAACATTATTTTGAGTGGAGGTGGATCAAGTCATGTGATGTACAAACTGACTTTTCATTGAATAACTTTATAATAGAAAGGCAGCTTGCCATTCATTTTACAAGCATAATATGCTGTAAGCACTCAACTGGGGTGAGCACTGTAGCCCATTCAACAGGAAAGTCAGCTGTTTCCACAGATGATCAGGACTAGAGGTCAGGCGTGGCTCTGACCACAGAATTCCCACCAGGAATTTGTCACCAGGACAGAAAGAAACAAAGTGGAAGGGACTCAAATACGTATTACCCACTCAAAAGCAAGAACTCTTCATCCACACACAAACCCCAAACCCTCTGGCTTACTGACGAGTGCATTTGTTCTCTGCAGCAAGAATGGGCAGCTTTAAACCCAGAGACAGCCTCACAGTTATGGAGGGTCAAAACTCATGTTATCTGTGGGCTCGGCTCCTTCTGAGGGCCCAAAGGAAAGGATATATTCCAGACCTTTCTCCTTAGTTTATAGGTGGTTGTCTCCAAGGTCACATGGTATCTTTCTTGTCTGTGTCCATCTTTCCCTTTTTAAACTAAAGTCCAGGATTATTAGGGAAATTGAGCTCCCTTCTTGAGGTTCCTACTTTTCTTAATTAAAAAAAAAACTTTCAAGAATAGAGCCAAGAGAAATCTGTAGCTGGTTTAATGGTGCACACCTTTAACCCTAGCACTCAGAAGGCAGAGGTAGGCACATTTATGTGAGTTGAAGGCCAGTCTGGTCTACATGGTAAGTTCTAGGTCAGCCAGAGCTTTCTTTTCCTTGTCAAAAGAAAGTAATCTCTCTTTAAGGACAAATTTTTAGAGTTTAAAAGAAACCCCAGGGTAGGCAGCTGTAGACATCAGCTGCTGCCTAGAGAAGGAAGAAGAGAAAGAGCCAGCCCCATTTGAGTTCAGCTAGAATGGAGGGCAGTCACGTGACAGACAAGCAGCCAAGTGTCAGGGAGAGGGGCCTAAGAGAAGGAATCTAGGAGAGCAGGCTTAGAACAGGGAGAGAAAGAAGAAAAGAGAAAGTTATACTTTTATGAGTAATCAAAAAAGGGTGGGCGGCCTTCTGAAGCCCCTTGGCTAAAGTTCCAGAAGTGGCTGCACTTATGGGTAGGCGTTAATCACAAAGATGGGAGGAGAAAGACCTCTGACCCAAATCATAATGACCAAATTAGTCAAAGCAAGCAATTAACTAAAGGAAGTTTTTATTTTTATTCATATACACCACGTATCTCTCCCTAAAAGCAGGGTTCAAGATGTCAGCATTAACTATGAGGAAGACAAGGATTTTATAGCTCAGGGTTGAGTAGTTACAGGAGCAGAAGATAAGCTTCTGTAACGTAGCAAGTTAGTCATAATGACATCCTGAAACAAAGACATGATTGCGAGGTGGTCATAGCAAGGTAGTCAAGACAACATATGTCATAACAAAGTAGCCATTAAACCCCTTTGAAACGAAGGGAGAATTGCAAGATGGTTATAGTAATTTTTTAAAACAAAGACATGGTTACCATTTTCTGAAACAGGCAGTACAGAATCATTTGTAGTCAAGGTCACAGGTAGGGCATAGCCCAAACCTTGAGAAACAGAGGTTTAATCAAACAACAATTAGCCTAGTTTGTCTTTACTGTAAGATGGCTTTTAAGTCAAAATGATGGCAGGCTGGCTCATCGCTGGAACTCTGGAAAGAAAAAGAACTTTTCTCATTAAAAGAGATGATCATTTCTCTATCTCTTAAGCTGACTTAAGCAGATCTGACCACTTGAGGGGCCATTCTTTAGTGAGATAATTGACACACCTAACTGGAATGTTAGTTCCAACCAAGGAGTAGTTTTAGACAAGGGCCGTTACTTTCACACCAACCCATTGGACCTTCTCCCCACAGCAGATTCATAGCCCCTACTGTTAGCATACTGTCACTGCAGAACCCTCCTTGGGGTCCTCTTAGAAGTGAGGCTAGGGTCTCAAGAATGACCACACCAACCAAAGTATCTTGGCTAAGGACATTTTTATTTCTGCAGAAGTTTCCAAAGCCCTAACAAGTTCTGGCAAGCAAGCTCACTAGGTAGGGAGTCCCTTGCCATGTTATTCCTAACAAGAGGGTTTTGTTCCTCTAGTGCTCAAAATTTGGTCTCACGTTCTCATATAACTGGTGAATTTATATGGAGAAATGTGATCTGGTAGTAATGGACTTACTGGGGTTTGGAGGGTTGTGATGTTTTGGAAGGAAGGCACAACTCAGGAGACTCAGCATTTCTATCACAGATACTAGAAACTAGAAACTTATGTGGAGAGTTCACACGTGTTCTCTCAGAAAGGAGTCATCCTGGCTCAGCTAATCTCTGGATAGAAAAGACTATGTTTCCCACAATTCTTAGCCTCATTAATAAAAGAGTTTAGAAATGGATTCAGCAGGAAGCTCAAGAACAGTTTTGTTAGTGTTGGAGAGAAAAGCAACAGAGAAAACAAGCTGCAAGGGGAAGGGAGAGGGAAAGAGGAGGAAAGAACTTGTGGTTTGTTTATCAAAGGAGATCAGCCAAGCCACCACGTGGCTGACAAACAGCAACATGGTGGAAATAGGAGTGGAGAGTATCAGAGAATGAATGAGGGGTCCAGAGGATCAGGGAAAGTGTGCTCGGGCTTTGGTTAGAAACAGAAGAGAGGGAGAGTTCTGTTTTCCTAACTGAGAAAAGCAGGCCTGCTCTGCAACGCTGCTTTATGGAAGATCTGCAAGCAATTGCATGGAGTATTTGGAAAGAGTAAGCACATTATCTCCTTAGAGGATAATTATTCCTCCCCTCTCCTTGGCCTGTCTTCAGGAGAATCAGCCTTCCTGGGCGGAAGGGGCGGAGCTTGTCTCCTAGGCCTATGATTGACTGTCTCAGCTGAATTAATTCTCAAGAGAAGAGGCAATAATATATAACGCAGTAATCTTTGGAGTAGGTCAGAATGTCATGTCTCCACCCAGGGCCAAAGGTAAATGTCACTCTTTGGATCAGGAGGAAGTGGTTTTCTTTTATTGGTTTCAGCAAAGCCCTGACAGCTCCACCTTTTTGTATGGGGTTTTAATGCCTAAGGCTAGGCAAAGCTGATGCCTACATTTCTAGTGTTACCAGGGCAATGGGGGGGCGGGGGTGTCCAAAGTCTACCTTAAGGTGGGAGTCCATCCAAGACTACTGTAACAATATTTTTCCTTCAGATTTTTCTGGAAGCATCGTGACCAGAAAGCAAGTTGGGGAGGAAAGGGTTTATTGAGCTTGTACTTCCACACTGTAGTTCATCACTGAAGGAAGTCAGAACAGGAACTAAAACAGGGCAGAGACCTGGAGGCAGGAGCCGATGCAGAGGCCATGGAGGGGTTCTGCTTACTGGCTTGTTCCCATGGCTTGCTCAGCCTGCTTTCTTATGGAGCCCAGGACCACCAGCCCTGGAATGACCTCACCTACAATGGGTTGGGCCCTCCCCTATTGATCACCAATTAAAGGAAATGCTCTACAGGCTTGTCTACAGCTAGATCTGGTGGAGGTATTTTCTCAGTTGAAGTTCCCTCCTCTCAGATGACTATAGTTTGTGTCAAGTTGACATAAATAGTCAATAAACCACCTCTGGTTACAGTTTTGACTGCACCACTCCTTTGAACCAATACTCTGTCACAAGAGCAGAAGAAATATTTCACAATCTTGTCCTGCCATGGCTCTGCCCACAGTTTAGACTCCCTATGGCTGCGCAAAGAGCGAAAATATCAACTAATTTGAACAAAAAATCCAATGGCTAGATTTAGAAGTCAATAGATACTTGTTAGCCTACTAAACAAATATTGTCAGACTACTAAACTAAAATAATAGTTCAGATTTGGTAAGTAATTATTAAGTGTTACCATATTACCTGGCATATTTTAAAATATTGATTGCTGAATCATATATATAAATATATACATTTGTATATGATATATGTGAGATATATATATGTATGTGTGTGTGTGTATGTATGTTTTTTTAATGTAAGTCTCACACTGTAGCCCAGACTGGCTTTGACCTCATGAAAATTGTTCTGTCTCAGCTTCCCAACTCCTGGGATTATAAATATGCCATGTCCAGATTCTCTGGGTGAATAATATTTAGGTACCTCTCTCTCTCTCTCTCTCTCTCTCTCTCTCTCTCTCTCTCTCTCTCTGTGTGTGTGTGTGTGTGTGTGTGTGTGTGTGTTCATCCTCTTAAGCACTT